TCTGTCTGGACTATAGTCTCACACAGATAAATCCTTAGCCATCTTTGGCAACCCTGTTCCTCTCTGTAGGGACTTGATGTTGGACAATTAGTCCCTCATCATTTATATGTGTCTGGCAGCGTGATGCTGCCGACACCGTGATCCAGGAATTATCTTGGACCACATCCTTATGCCAGAAATGGTGATTCATTTACGCGATGTATGAGGGAGGCCGGCGTTGCTTGTGCTACGACGTCAACTGGGAACCATTCACGCTCCTTTAGTGCAATTTGTGGCTCTCTGGCTTTTGCTTGAGAAACTCGATTCAGACTACTCTGGTTCTGGTCGGCCACTTTACAATTTTTCGCTCATGTTCTTCCCTGGAGAATTGATTCTCTTTACGATCCTCGTAGACTTGATGTATATAGCGCAAGGGAATCATTATCATGGTAAAGATACACATTCATAACTATTGCAAGTAATTATCCCTGGATGAGACGCGGCCAAACCTCGGTTCGAAATAGTGGCCCATAGTGCGATGGCGGCAGGTTCCTGGCCTCCCACCTCACCATATCCAAGACTACCTCATGACACTCCCAGTAGTTCTGCACTCAGTACTCGAGCTCTCCCATCAAGCCACCATAACATGCTGCTTTCGATTTTGAGTTCAATCATTCAGTCCGGCCATTCGTTTGGCGAGATTCAATGCCGAGGCCTTCGGAGGAATTAGCTTGGCCCCCCGTGGCTTCAATGAACTGGATAATTCGGCCTCTCTGCATCCAGTTGGCAAACTGATAGCAGCAGCGGGCATATCTTATCACTAGCTGAGCTCAAACGACACGCGCCAACCGCCCGTCAAGGTGGGCGCTACCATGCTGTCGGCGAGCGCACAAGCTGTGGGATTTGCAAAACCAACACCGAACGCAGATAACGGTCGTGAAAGCAAGGGTTCAGGGGATCTCATTTAACTACGCAAGATTAAGCGTCCACCGGCCAACAGGTACCAGATCCTCTGGCAGCTGACAATCTCGTTATGTGCCTCCGAGATAATTCACGTCTGCCATGCGCTGTGGAGCAAGAGCGACACGTTGTGTGGTCGCGTCATAGTCGAACCACCTCAGCTTCTAGCTTTTGACTAACAAGCAGGTCCACGCCTTTCCCTGCATGTTCGGCTCACCTGCTTCAGCAAACCTGTGGGGATTTCAGAAAGACTAATTCGATTTCAAATCAATAATAAAAGAATATTCGAAGGACAGGCAACGCTGGAACGACTCGCACTCGCTCTGCTGCTGCCACAAAGTTCACGAAACGCGCCCATTACTAGCCCAAAATGATGATGATGATGGAACGTGATGGTCAGTCTTTTTTATCTTGGTGTTCTACTCGTTCTAGTAGAGACATGACCCTATGACAAAGACTAACCAATTTGCTTCTCCCGGTTGAAATCCTGATGTTTATCTGTTCATTCACTCGACTCTCGGTCTAATATTGGGTCATTATCTGATAACGCGCTTTTCAATGTCTAGTTTACACGGACAATCCCAAGAAGAATGGGGATGACTCCGAACGTGAAGATGACAGGGAGCCGCAGCATGTGCAAGCACGAAAGAAGAAACCTACAATGCTATTTGACGAACTTTCTGGATTCATTGACGACGATAGGAATCGACGATGTGGGTTTGTGAACTAATTATACACCCCATAACTAATACCCCAAATATAGCTGCTGCCAGCAATGATGATAAACGATATAAAGGTGTGTATATCGTCTTCATATCGTCTATTCGAATTGTTTATGATTTTTCAGATCATTTGTTTGACACGGAAGATTATGAAGACCCTAGTCTCAAGCTGGGTATCGAAGATTTCAAGTGCTTTGAGAGGTGAGGGCCACATTTTATCCGCAAAATGCTATTTAGATGGCTAAATTACTCTGAATAAAGGGTCATGTATGCACTGGATCGAAGCCTTATCACCTTTCAATTATCAGCTCGCCAGCTCGACTCGTCGGTTGGCTCCTTAGCATCGGCTGGACAGCTCCGCAGTCACTTGATGAATATAGGGATCCTCTTTCAGAGAAACGCAGCTGAAATCTTTCCACAAATGAAATCCAAGCTCGCAAAAATCGACACCCCAAAGCCGAGGAAGAAAAGGCCAAAACCAAGGGCGAAAATCTATAGCAGAGCTTCGATCCTCAAGCCAACGACTATCAACGAAATTCCAGAACCAGAAACCCTTCCTAGCGAATTATCAGAGTTTGCTTCCAACCTTGCGGTGTTTTTGCGACAACTGGAAGAGTTTCCAGAATTTGCGGACGATACATTAACTACCTCAATCACAGCTCTTGAGATTGAACTCAAGGTAGCTAGTGTCGTTTGTGTGTATGTTGCTGCTATATTGATCACTTCCGCTCTATTTTTAGCGCCGTGCCGACTGCCTCGCAGAGTATCGGCATCAACTTCACTGGCCAGCAGTGCAGCGATACGTTCACGCTATCAGCGCAGAACTTGTATCACCTCTACAGACTATGAACCAAGCTCTTGAAGACTTTGTGAATAACGGTATACCGGCCATCCGTTTTGCCCAAAAGAACAGTTGGAACTACCTAGTCAATTTATCGGTCACAGCAACCTTTTTCAGTGGTGTCACCGCAACGACAGCTCAATATTCGCTTGACAGAACTGCGACCACACTTGACGATGTGAGGATACCCTGCTATACCACCGCCTCTACTAATTAGACAACTCCAGATGGTGAACTTGCTCTTTTTCGGGTCCTTGGTCCTCAGTGTATCGACTGCAATCAACAGTTTACTAGGTTTGACATGGAAACAAGCTATATTGTAAGTTTTATAGAGGAGCAATCGACTATTTCTGATTGTTACTAGTCGTTCTCCGAGACACCGAGTCCCATGGTGGATTGTAAGTATATATTTTCCCCATTGGCGTACTACCGACTAATAAGCTGCAAGTTGATCTGGATCAAGAGATCTCCTCTCGTATTCATGATCATTTCGGTCGCTTTGTTTAGGTAAGCTCTCATTGAGCTTGAGGAAGGGATTATTTCTAACTATCGCATCAGTGCTGGCCTTGTGTGCTTTTGCTATACTACGCAAAGTCAACTCGTCTCTGTTACGGTTCTCCTTCTCACTTGCTTCAGCACCTTTGGGCTACTCGCAGTATCGGCTTGGTTCATGGGCGAGAGGTGGACATACAAGCAGCATAATGGGATGAAATGGCTATCGGACGTTCTACATGGCTATTGGGATTCCTTCCTCAAGCCCATCCGTAGTCAATTGATGCGTTGGATCCCTCGACGAGCCATTGCCCAGTGCCAAGCATTCGGAAAACGTCTTACTTGTAGACTGAACAGGAATAGGGGACCTAGTGACGAGCTTAATGAAACCGAGAGTGGTGGTACTATATTATCCCCTATCGAGTATAAACACAAGAAATCGGCAAGTGAGCTAGAACGGGGAGATATGATCGACAGCCCTATAGCTCAACCTTCACAATTACCAGAGGCTGGTGTCTCTCATTCAGTGCCCAAGTTCTCCTTCTCGGCGGCTTCGATAGCAGTGCCAAATTCCGATTCGCAACATACTCTGAATGAGCAAGCCCCAACAGCAAGCACAACTACCGATCCTCCAAAGCTCACCGGTGTAAATAGACTCCGTCAGCTTGCTTGGAAAGTTGCAGAGAAGGAAACACTGCAAGTACCCAAAACACAGACCAACTCGAGGGGAAGCGCTGTCTTGTACACCATGCATACAATTGTCGGAAGGTTGACGACACTCCGACCAGTCCTCAAGAGATTGGAAGTAACGCATACGATCCTCCGGAGCTCTGGCCTTGTGCGGCATTTGCAATTCAGCCCGAACGGGAAGCTACTGGCTACATGCGCGTGGGATGGTACCGCGAGACTATTCAATGTCCCTCAATCAGCGGACGATGACGTTGGAAAGCACCTTGTAATGAATGTCTATACAGGCTTCCTTGGACAGGTGGCGTGGAGTCCAAATGGAAACTGGCTAATAACCAGATGGGCGAATGGTATGGCTATATGGTCAGAGGTAAGCAATTGACATGCCTTTATAAGAGAGATCCTATAGTTAATCGACTATAGAATGGTGTCCGTAGAAAGAATATCCCTCGTCGAAGGCATGTTCATGCAGTGACATGGTTCCCACATCGTCAAGGTGCGTCATTCAAATTTAGATTATGGTTAACTGAGGCTGAATAAACTATTCTATAGCATTCTTATCGGTAGAGGGAAGTCAAGTATCCGAGCTAGACCTTGATGGAAATGTCGTGGAAATGTATGAATTCCAAAATCTGGAGATTCACACTGTGGCAATCACTCCCGATGAGGAGCGTATGCTATGTGTAGGTGTACCCAAGTCGCAAGGGAGTACACAGCCTAGCACGTCCCGCGTAGAGAAGCGGCTAGTTGGTAGGTCGCCGTTACATCCCAGTAGATGAATTATCCCTCATCATTCTACAGTTTACAACCTCAAAGG